TGATCTCAGACAGGCGAGATGATTTGGCCCCAGTTCAGGTTACAGAGGAAAGGACAACATGTTCCTAGAGTGCAGGAAGCTGGAGGTCAGCTGCGCTGCTGTGGGACCGATTGCCTCCTGATAGCTTGTCATCGTTTACCTTCCTACATGCCTGAATACCTTCGGTGGACTTCAGCCAGGGGTAAGTCAGCATTACCAAACCACTGACACAGAAAAGACAATGACTACCGAGTAAGGCTGTCCCCAAGGAGAAAGGATTGATTAGCCCAAGAGAATGTATGCTTTTTTCCCCAATGTTAATACTTATTTACATTTTAATTCTTTCTTATTTGAGTGGTATGAAATACTCTTTCAAGCATTCAGCCTTCTCCTGAGTGAAATTTCTGTTGACTGTAGTGGCAGTAGCTTGAATGAAAACTGCGATCTTTGTCCTTCAGTTTCCTTTGAACTACAGTTACGCTTGCCTGTTGCATGTGTCCTTATTAACCCAGACTGCAAAGACTCCTTATTTTAGCTTTCAGATTAAGAGCATGAACTCTTGAGCTGTGTTGTAAAGTGCCTTCCTGTGCTTTTTTTTTTTTTAATTGATCAGAAGTGTAGGACACCTGAATCTGTTGAAAATATATAAATAACAAGCAATTTTACTATATCTACCGTCAGGATAGCATACCACCTATGGCAGCTATTCACTGTTAGTTGATCTTTCATACTCTGTGCCAACAGTACCGCATACTCAAAAAATAAATAAATAGCAAATCTTTGTACCAACAAACTTTATGAACAGGGAAGGGGGGAAAAAGTACATGAATTGAGAGGGAAGTATTTCTAAATAGTCTCTGATACGTGTAAATTCAGATAGTTGCAAACCAAAATGTCCTAAAGTGCAAGTGGGAATTTTGTATCTGCACAGCTCTGGGCACAGGCTCAAGTGGCCTAACCACCGCGTCTGCCATTCCTGACCTGGTGGTCTCTGCTTGGTCTCCGCGTGGCTACTATGAGCCTTGGAAAGATTCAAGTGATTGATCTTTTGATGGGCACGGTTCCCACTGCAGCTGCAGTGAACTGCATCCGTCCTTCAATCCTAAGAGGGAGAGAGGAGAAGGAAAGGTGCTGGGGGAGGTCACTGAAGGGGAAATCTTTATGAGCATCTGTGAGATTAGTTCCCAAAATGGACTATGTTGTTCTGGCAGTCACCTTGTGATGCAGACAATGGGAGAGATGGTATCTGAAGAATCTTCAGGTAACAATTAACTTTAACAATTAACTTGAGTTTTGTCATGACACTTCACCCTTATTTAAATATTTTGTTTATATAAAAAAAAATGTGAGTGCAGGTAGTTTTTTTTAATACACGTCTCTCGAGTTTAGATTGTTGAAATAGAACAGAGTGCTAACTTTGGGGAAGTATCACAGTGACTTAGTAGACTTGGTGGCCTCTGGTTACTAAAAGACTGTGTGTATGATGGAGCCAGTTCTGCATTTGATGTGCTTTAATCATATAGAGAACCCATTGTCCATCAGAGGTAAAAAGATTAGCAACTTAGCCCTGCTACTACTATGACTAACAACTTGGCACTCTGTTATCAGCACAGTGAGCTGTAGTGCATCTCCAGCCTTCTGCAGTATGAGACAGCCGCAACAGGGGGGGAAGGAAGTCTTTAAAAATGTTCATAACAAACAGGTTTCCATAGAGCAGCCCATAGCGTCAAGGGGTGTCAAAAGAAAGGAAAGCTGCTTTGAGGTGCATGGCGTGAAACGTCTCTGTCATAAACCTGACCTTTTTGGAATGAGATTAGCTGTTTGATTTGTATGTCATAGTAGGTTTCTGAAAAAAAGGTGGAGAAACTAGTTTGATCTGTTTGGTTACTTCCATTTTCTGGCTCTGGTGCCATAGGGTAGTTGTGAGGATTGCAGTGTTGTAGACAAGCTTAGATGATGCAGAACCACCCAAAACCCACAGCTGTTTTTTTTGTTAAAAACAGTGCCATATGAAATGCCTTCCTAATTTTTTTCTTTTATTAATTTAATTTTATTTGATTTTATTAACTTTGTTTAGCTGTGAAATTAGCTAAATGCAGAAATACTGAAGTTTTAACTACACACTGATACAGTTTTTAGTTTTCCTTTTGCAGTAGATGATTCTGTGGACAATTCTTATTTAAATAATGTGTCCAGGGTCTTAGAAACATACTGCTCCTGTAAAAGCAGAAAGACTGGCAAAGCATACTTCACCCCACAGACTGAAATCTTGAAAATGGCTGTAACCGTGGTGAATGTTAATTTATTACTATAAATAATCTTTCAGTAAATCTCTTAAGAGGTCAATGTCTGTGGGCAAATTAGAAATCTGGGGGTTTGACTTACCTATTCCTTTTTAACTGTCTTCTGGATGTGCTTACTGTGTGCAGAATCTCACTGAAACCTGCAGTGTGCTTGTCACCTGTCTTGGTGTTGTAGACAGGAGTACTGTCATCAGAACACATTGATATGTGCCTTTGGAATGTATACAGTAACGAAGGGGATTAAGTCAAACTCATACAGTTAATTCTTGCAGGTCATGCCCTGCCTACCACAAAGGGACTTAAAAAGGAAGGGAATCGCATTCTGCTTTCCTGAAATGTTTTGGAAACCTGTCCCTCTTCACTGCTTGGCTGCCTATAACTTCCTTTACCAAAAAAGCTTGTGGAAACTGGCTGACAGTCCAGAGAGCAGAACAGGTTCTGACTCCAGCTCTCCTATGACTGCTGCTGCATTTTTAAGGATACTTACATTATTTGGGTGCTCTTTTAAGCATCCCTGGTGCTAATATCACCGTTCTTAGTGGAACTGGTCCCTGAAGTCTCAGTTGCAGCACTCAGCATCTTCTACGGTACAGTCATGAGAGCCTTTGTGCAGGAGTTTCTCAAGTACTGTGGAGAAAGGCTTGAAAAGTTATTTCTCTCTTTCTCACTGTTGGATTTAGCTGTTGCTTTTTAAACCCTTACACCCCTTAAGTAACAGAGCCAAGCAGCCAGCTGAGCTTCCTTGTAGCAAATGAGCATAAGTGAACATGTGCATGACCCTTGGCTACCAGACTAGCTCCTTAACCTTGAACTACCTCCAAAGGGCTGGTAATACTGTAAAATCACAGCAGTTAAATCCCATAATGTCTGCCCCTCTGAATCTTAAAACGGCAAGCTGTGGGAGCTTGCACCACAGTTAGGAATTACGGAAACAGCTGTAGCCCCGTGGAGTTAGCAAGGCCAATGTAGACACAAAGGGGACGAGCAATTAGAACAGTTGAAATACTTTCTCCCCCACAAACGTGATCCCTCTCTTACAAATCAGGTACACTGTTGAGAAGGTTCAGAGAGAAGCAAATGATTCTGTTCTCTCCTCCTTAAAGTGTAAAAGACCATGGATTAAATCCGCAGCTCTACTCTTGTTTGGGGTAAAAGAGCCAGGACATGATAAAGGGGATCCAGAAGATAACAAATCAGGATGTGGTGGAAGTCTATTGCCTTCTTTCTCAGTGCAGACAGCTGCTTTCCTAAAATCGCCTCCCAAAGCCCTGTCAAAAGGAAACTGTATGGTTTTACTTGTTACCTGTCATCAGAAGTATTTCACATGCATTTCAATCATGCACAAAAAAAGTGAGAAAAAAATCATGATATGTGATTTTTTTTGTAGATAAAGATGACTATGCAGTTAGCGTGTGGGGTGATTAGGGGTTTTTTGTTAGCTTCTAAATTTTAGCAGTAGACTTGTCAGTAATGCAAGGGGATACAACAGCATTAAAACTATTTGATTAGCAACTCTTATATACCTGGAGCATGAGTTTTGATCTGTTTCCGTTTCCAGCATCGAAGTTGCCAAGTATTTGAAATGCTATAGCTGAGGCATCTGGAAAATGTCATCACCACTTGTTGGTTTATGAGAGGCTTGTCATAGGCTTAGCAGCTCTGAGAAGCTGTAGGTTAGTCTGGCCAAGGAGGGAAAAAATGCTATACCACGTAGTGTTTCAGATCAATGAGGGGATAATGATATCCATGTTCACCAATCAGTTAACTGTACAAGTCCCATTTTTATCAAACTTCTGCCCTGTGGTGATCAGCTTGCACGTGCAAGTCATCAACCTGTGTCCTGAGGTCCCCACACACTCCTGACTGAGAAGTGTCACTTACCATGTGTTTGAGTGAAACCCTGACTTGCCAATGCAAAATAAACCCATGACTGCATGTGCACAGATGGATGAGGATGGGATTATTCAAGGTCAGGTTATCCTGTCTGTGCTAACGCAGTAGGAGATTAACGAAGGAAGGATTTTGCTGTTAAAAATGACCCTTCACTTCCTCCGTGTGAACAGACACTGTCTATGCTGCAGTTGGAAATGTAGCTGCCATCCAGCAGGATGCTGCCAAGCTAACTTTAACCAATCTGGACCATGTAACAAAGATACGGGAGCACGGGAACCAACTGCTCACCTACAGCCCTTGGTGGGCTTGTACAGTTTGCCCTTCTCTTTGCAGTATGGACACAGCCTCAGCAGCCAGAGTGAAGTCAGCACGCTCTTCTTTTTGATCAGAATTACAGGAAGGCAGTGTGGCACCTGGGGCCATCCCCAAGCTTCCCTCTCATAGGTGCTCCACTGCCAGTGATGTGAAATACCTCTCCCCAGACCTGAGCAGCTGGCAGATGGGTTTTGTAGCTCTGGTTCGGATGGATTGTCTTCACAAGGGTGGGATTTATTTCCAGTAGTGATATAGCACAAAAGGAAGTGCTGTGTGAGATTACTCGTCTCTTTCTCTTTTGTACCTATCAGAGAATTAATTCCCTCCCTTTTTAGTTTGTATTTCAAGATGAAGTACCTGATTCTTTTGGGTTAACAGAAGAATCCAGATCAGTCTGTTGAAACCTGGCATTAAGTGTTCCTTATGTACCAGAATGGAGAAAATAATTATCTTTAATTACTTTGGTTTTCCTTTCCTCATTCTAAATCCCCCTGGGTGTCTCTTGAGCAGGCACAGAGTCCTTGGCTTCCCCACTATGGAGCAGTTGATGTCCATTTTACTGGCATGGCTGACTGTTTCCGGCAAACTGTGAAGAACAAAGGTGTACTCGGACTTTGGAGTGGACTCACACCCAGTCTGCTCAAGGTGAGGTTTTGCTTTCATCCCAATCAAAGACTGTCCTGAAGTAATCAAGACGCACTTCTGGGCAGTTGGGGTTATAAATCTTATGACGTGCCTCCGTACTTATTAGCAGCTTATAGATGACAGAGTCCGTGACAGAACAGCTATAACCTCAGGCAGGTTATAAACCAGCTTTGGAACTTGGTTTGGTCATATTTCCCCAAATGTAAGCTTGGCTTCTAGACGTCACTACTTTCAAGTTCATTTGAATGTCCTTAGGGAAGGGAGTGCTGCTAAGACACAAGCCAGGGTATGGATGGGGGATTGCAAGTGACAGCTAAACAAGTTCTACTTCTCAGCTGAGCTCCAGTCATTTGACACGTTGTACCAAATCGTGAAGAAAATGGCGCTTGTATAAGCCACTTCCCCAGAAGTCAAAAGTAGTACTTTCAACCAGCTATTTAATGCCTGCGAATCAGTTACTACAGCCCTTGCTGAGTTGAAAGCATGAAATAAAGCACAGTAGCTTAAACGGAAGGTAATTTAGTTTACATAAATACATTTTATAGTGCTGCGGTGAGGATTACCTACATGGAGTACTACAGGTCAGCTAATGAGTGGTAATTGAGTGACAAGGTGATTGATTGCAATGGCCTGCCTGTGCCTGGCCCTGCCTTGGCTGGTGTAAAGCCACATGGCACCAGAGCTGCTGATTCTGCATGGGGCAAAAGAAAATTGTTCAGTCACTCTGCTGTATGTAGAAGAAATCCCACATTTCCTACTGGGATTTGCTGCGGTTGCTTAGGATTTGCTTAGGTATTTGACAAGTCATGATAATGTATAGGGTAGCACAGACCTTGTTCCTCACAATACTGTTATAATTAGTTATGTACCAATAATATGTACCTACTTTTAGCATGCTGCAGGTGCCAGCCTAGTTTGAGGTGAGACTCTGATTTTATATAAATGAGCACAGCTCTATTAGCAGATCAGATCAGATTTGAAGTCCTAGAAGTTTCCTTTTTTAAAACATCTACTTTAAGAATGCTACTAGTGAGTCTAATATTGCTTTTTTTTCTTATGTTGCTTTTTTTTATTTTATCAGATTGTCCCATACTTCGGTGTTATGTTTAGCACCTTTGAATTCTGCAAGCGGGTCTGTCTGTACAGAAACGGTTATATTGAATCTCCTTTAAATTACAAGCTAACTCCTGGCGTGGACCAGAGTTTACAGCCACAAGAACTGAGAGAATTAAAGCTCCTCCGAAGGGAAAACTTTGAGTCAAGGAAATCAGCTCTTGAAAACTGACATTGGACTGTCCATTGCAGATATACCCACTACCTTTCTTAAGGAACTTTGCAGAAAAGACATGCTGAACTCACAGGTACCAGCATCTCAGCGGATTGCATGGTTTTAGTCATGAGACACCAGTGCCAGGAATGAATAGATCTTGTACTTCATTTGCTGAATGGATATAAACAATACGAATAGCAGGCATATACTGAAGAGGAGAGATGCAACTAGTTTGAAAACACTATGCTATTGGAACTCGAAATTACATTATTTTAGGTGCTTTTCAATAGTGAATAGCCATTTTGAGATAAAACCACTTGCAGAAAGGCAAGAGAACTGAGATGAGAGTATAAATTATATCTTCAAAAATATTAAGAAAATTCAAATGGATTTTTTTAAGTAATCTGAGATACCGAGTCAGCCAAAAATGATAAACAGACTAGAATACATATAACATGCAAGAATTTCTACCAAAATCTCTTTTTTGTTTGTTTGTTTTAGTGATACTGTGTGGACGTGGCATTCTGCAGATGCAGAATTAGTCTCAGTTCAGGCACACTCCAGAATCTACTCTTCAGTTTTGAGACTTACTTAAGAATAATAATTTTGTATGACTCTGGTGTAAAGATGAAAATATGCTGCTGCAACTGTGCTTTTGCTAAGAGAGAATTGTAATGTGCGAAATGAACTGTAATACACTGGAATGACAATCTTGCAAACTTAAGTGCATACTAGAAAATCTTCCCCCCTTTCTCCTGTGTTGTTACTGCATGTACATGAGTTATTTCAGGCTTTGAAAAATAGTTTTCCTTAAGTTCTCTAACCGAAATATTTCCTGAAAAATGCAGTTCTTAAATGTGTTAGATATTTCAGAGCCACGAGCCCTGTCATGTTGTTTTGGTATTCTTAAAGCTCTATTTTTATATTAAACTACTTTTTAGTTCCTGTGCACAGACCCAGGCCTACTGTGCTGCTCAGAACTTGCCAGCAGAATAGCGCTGTGCACACAGCCTGTGATTCCCACCCCCCCCCCTTTTAACTGCTGTGATCCAGGAGCTACAGATAGTTTCTGTAGATAGGAACCTCTCTGCAAGACCACTAGGTTATTGCCAGTGCCAATGCAATTGATAGGCCTCTGACCAGTCCAGGGAGCTTTTGGACAACAGAAGATCATCTTGCTTTTACACCTGAGGACCTGCGGTATTGCTCCAGTTCCTTTGTAGAAGTACAGCTATGGAACAGCCCCATCGTAGTGCCTCCTGATAGAAAACTTTAAACCCCGTGTCCACGTGGGAAGGCGGCTCTCTGCGGCATGTCCCACCGGCCTCGGGCTGTGGCAATGGGTGAATCACAGCAGCTCGGTAAGGCGCGTGCACACCAGCTATGCTCCTGTCCTAGCTGCAGCAGCCAGGGCTCAGCACAGGATTTGCCTGCTGGTTTACAAAGCTTTTTGTGTGTGTTTCCATACCGTTTATGTCCCTGCTGGGTGGAAATAAGTAATTCTCAGAAACTGCTTGGTTAGGCCAGGTCACAGTGGGATGAGGCAATGGCAAGATTGATGCAGGAACAGTTTGTGACTATGGAGAGAGATTTGCAGAAAGATTTGGGATAATTGTAAGGCCTGCCTTGCACCTAGAACTCAACATTGATGTACCCTACAGCTGAGGTCGTGCAGTATCTCTCTTAATGGGCTTGCTCAGTTCTGCTGCAGTGGTGCTTCATACTGGTTTTCTTCTCAGAGAAGAAATGCAAGCACTGATAGCAAAAATTAAGATGGTAGAGAGCAGATCTGGTGGCTCGTGCATCACACTGGGGCTGTAAGTGCTTTTGGCGCTCTAATCAACCTGCCTAATGAACACGTTTCTCCATGCCTCAGTTCCCCATCTGCACAGTGCAGGTAATAATACTGAGACTTATTTGAGATGTATGACTAAGGAGATGTGACTTGTGAGTGCGCAGGGGAGGAAGAGATTTCTAACGAGTGCCCTTACCTTGTCCAAGCATACCTGTATGTTTTTTACTAATGTTGTATTTCTAAATAGATTTTAAAGATTGAGTGATGGGTGCATATGAATGTCTGATCAGCTCTTCAAACCTGGTAAGAGTCAAGTGAGTCAAAAAGTCTAACTTGTTTCTGATATGCTAATAACACCTTTGTATTGTAAGGTACTCCTACGACCTATAAATCACTTACTAACCTTTTATCAACCAAGGCTCTACTTTGCGTAATCACATCTGTGCATGAGAAATCCCCCAAAAGGTAACACTAAAATATTTAAGACTGCACAGAAACAAAGTGCTTCAGCAGTAGATCACTAACATGTAAGATGGTGTATGATCGTGAAGAACCAGTTAGTAGCAAAGCTAAATCGCAGAGACGACTCTCAGGTAGGTGAACCGTAACTCAAGTGATATTTGGATGCGGCCATGCAGTAGAGGTGGGAGGTGGTATGTGGTGGGGCGTACGTCTGTCTGAGCATCCCAGCTGAGCTCAGCGCCGTGACTGATGTAGGGAATCCGTACGACACGCAGAGCTCTGTGACTCCCAGGGCATCACGTATGCAGGGGAGTAGTAATGGGAGAGGTCTCTGAGTGGGGGTCTCAGCTGAGGTTCAGTGAGATTGGGCAGTCAGGCTCGATCCTGTGCGCGTCTGAAGATTAAGCAGACTCTGAGCCTCCCCCATTCTTGCCTAAACCACGGCCGTGCTCTCTGCCCGGCTGCCTTCTGCATCGCCTTCGTGATGGCACCCGGGTAGCGCAGAGGGGCTGGGGCGGACACGGGCACGGAAG